ACATATCGGTAATGGATGAATAGGTAGCAATCCAATTGCAGTTTCTCCGAAATCTTGCATAACCATATCTGCAACTACCGGTGATAATGGAGATCTCATCGGGGTTCTAAATATTTGTTTATAAAATTTATTGTTAAAAATAAAAAAAGTAGAATTTAACACACACAGTAAAGGCTATCTAATGGAATTTTAGTTTTTTCAGATTAAGAACCATTTCCTAACAACACTATTCGATGCCAAGTCTATAGGTACGTATAGTAAAAAGGGAAATCACATCTAATGAAGCCAGAACAAAATCAGGTTGAAAGTTTGATATTTTTTAGTTTACAAATCAAAACAAAACTATTTTTTATAAAACTTTCTGTATAGAATCATTAATAATGTTGTGTAAATACTCTTTTGCCCTATTTTTATTTATATTGTCCTATAATAATATTTCTATACATGAATTACCAAGTACCTTATACACATTTTCTGGTCCTTAAAACTAAGCGCGTCGAACGCGGCCCGTTCTTGAAACTAGCAGGCCTAAATTAATAGGGATGGAATATTAATATTACAAATTAAATTAAATGAATAATAATAATAATGATAATAATTTTAAAACATTGCAAAAATTTGAAGAGTTGGAAAATTATTATAGGCATCAAGATCCATAGTCACGATCGTATTTGGCGTTCCTCTATATTTATTTATCTAATTTATTATTTCATTATTATATTACAATTATTTCATTATTATTACAATTATTACAATATACTTATGAAATACCTTCTATGAGTTAATAAAATTTTAAATTATTATTTATATACGTATTGTGAGATTTTTCGTCCGTCAGTGGTTCGAAAATTAAAACGTGTGAATCTTGCTCTCTTCTGGCTCTCGAGAGGGCGAGCGTATATTTGCGTGCTGGTTTTCGTGCGCCGTATTAATTTTCATAATAGAAACGTGAGGATTGGTGGCTATATTTTAAATTGTACTGTCTCACCCGATTGCCAGAGAGGAGGAGAAGGACCAGGAAGGAAACTGTTGGCGACGAGGACCAGAATACTCCCCCAGTGGCGGGGAAGCGCAGGTCGTATAATTACTATCATATCCTTTTATTTGCGTCATCGATACTGTTTTACAGAGAAAAGTGGGCCGTCGATTTGGCCTCAAAGTGAGAGCCTTTCCGATTTGGAGAGAATCCTCCAGGAGGAATCCATGCAGAAGTAATGCTATCGTGAAAGCTGCAAGTGGAGACAGAAGTGAAGACGACAGCACACAGCGGCCCTCATGCCTCGAACACAATTTATCCCTTGGAGCGAAATCAGCAGAATAAGCAGAGAAAAGACGGTCCATGTGAGGAAAACTCACGCCAAGCAGCACGAAGCTACGCGGTTCGCGGGACCGCGCGAGTTAATTAGCGGCCAATAGGACGCGAGGATTACGGCTCGGTCCCTGCCGAGGATATGGACTTGACTTGCGTGGTTACACGAGCCGAGAACGCAGGATCCCGAGCGTGTAGAGATTGCGGAGAGTATTGGGTGAGCATCGATCCTTTGCGTCGCGATATCGAGTGAGACGCGTGTCGAGATCATGCCGACCGGATCCGCCTGTGTAACGTCGCGAGCTTAGAGAGTAAGTTAGATACCGCGTGCGGTTCGTCCGAATCGCTCTCAAAATCATTGCGTGTTTTCGCGTAACGCTCGCCACCAAGTCGCCGCGTATCGTGTTTTGTAATCGCGTGTAATTGTTCGTGTTATCGTCTCCGTGTCGAACGGGTAATGTCGTCGAGTCAGAATTTTCCGTCTTCGTCGCAGAATCCGAACGATTGTTATCCCTTGGAGTAACTAATTTGTTACTGCGGGTAGAATGCTCAGCGACATGTGCGAGTAGGTTATCGTATGCCGCTTGTAATAAATGTAAGTCGGGTTCACTATTGTATCCGAATGTAGCACTGTCCATCAAATATGTATATGTCATGTCCATTTTCTTATTAATTCTGGTATAATTAGTGCGTTCTCCCCGCTTCTTTCCCAAGAACCGCCTCCTCCTCTAACCAATTCCGTGGCTGCAGAGCCTACCGCCGCCGTCGCAATTAACGTAACGAAGTTGCACCCCGTCGCTCGTGAGTACGGTCGCAGTATAAAGACAATTAATTTATTTTTCTTCAGCGAAAATTTCTATGGGGCAGAATTGTGCTTAATGATTATAAATTTAGTGAAATCTTAGTAATATAGATCTAGAGCTCTATAAAAATATCACATATACGCACGCAATGTATGTATATACGTTTCTTATTTTTGATTATATACTTTTATTTTTTTATATATTTTATTGTAATTTTTACTATTTTTATACACATATTTGCCATTTTTTTCGATTTATACAAATACTATTATATATGCTGTAGAGAAGAAAGTTAAATATGTTGACACACAGAAAATCAATTTCGTCTTTGATGGCAAACTTGTTCTCAACTTTTCGCAACTTGATTTCAGTAACAAGCACTGTATTTGCGTCGAATCAATTTAAATGGCGGAAAGTGGAGCGTCTAGAAGGATCGAAGGTATTTTGAGAACCTGGATAGCACGATTCGGACGGAAGCGGAAAGTTGCGGTGACGAGAAATGGAGGGCGGCGACGTGTCCTGTCGAGTGTTTTCGCAAGGCGGGAGTCGAACCCTTGGAAAAACAGACGTTAAATTGAAAGTGTCGTGCTGCAAGAACGCGAGGCTGCCTCTTTTCCATCTATATCAACGTGACATTATCGTTACAACGTCCTTCACGAGTTTCTTGATCGCAAATAAATTTGCAAATTATATGATATTAGGATCGTTGAACATTACTTTAAATAGAATTATAATAGTATAGTAAATTACTAAAGTATATTCTAATTTTTATATAATTTCATTAAAAATATATTCAAAATGATTTATTTTTATGTAAAATATAATAAAATTATAGTATTGTTGATTTCAAATCATTTTAATCAGTTGAAATAAGAATTGAAATTAGATTATCAAAACTGGATAGATGATTTGCAAATGATATTTTTTACAGAATTAAAAGTTTTCAAAACTTTTAAATAATTTCTTAAACAATTAAAACGTTTATTCGCACAATTTATTTACAAGACATAACTTAATATTTCCTAATCCACGTAACGTTAAGTTATCATATTCATTTGTATTCTCATTATAGTTCAACACACAAGTATCGTCTTGAATTTATCGATTTAGCGCTAAATGCAAAATATAAATATATGGAGCGCGCTACATCCTAAATTTTCGTCCTCTCGATAAAGCACTTTCTACGAGAATCGCATCATACATAATAGAGACAAAAATATTTCACAATCGACGAAAATCACAAATATAACGCCAATGCCATCTTCTTAAATTTAATCTGATTTTTTAACAAAAAAAATTCAAAAATACTTGACAAGCAACTCCGTGATGCTCGATGATGTCTATAACGCTCGTTCTCTTTTTAAAGGCGCGCGCTGTGAAATCGCAATCACACGGTTGTCTGCGAAACCATATGATATTCTTGCGTCACTGTCACCCCCTAAACATCCTCGACACTCGCTTAATTTCTGACTGAGGCACCGCGCGCATATGCAACTATCACTCGTTTTTCCGCCGTGCTGTTCCGGACAGACAAGATCCACCGAGATCAATCACCACCTTAATCCTCGTGCTCGTTGTCCGGTTGGTATCCGACACGAAAAGTATCCGACGGCCGATGGCCGCGGAAAAATTCCGCATCGCGGCGTGCAGCACGGCTGGTGGTCACAGGCTCACCGCGTCCTGAGCCCTTGCGCGAGGTGACGAGGGCGTGATCACGCGACCGACTACCGCACGGTTATTGGCGGAGTCTCATTCGGGGCGGTCATACACGACGACGTTCACCGTTCCGAGCGGATTGGTCCTGCGAGGTGGGCGGAGTCACGCACGGCTCCACGATCGCGCAGCCAATGGCGTAGTTGGACGCGCGTAAGAGACCTCGTGATTTTTCGAAGACGCACGAACGGCGCAGCCGTCCTCCGGCCGCGCCGAGACCGTCGAGCACTCCGATCCGCGCGCGACTCCTCCGAGCTCCCAGTGTGTTTTTACTCGGGGTTGAGTAAACTCCGGCCTGTTGTGTATCATAATACCGTGGCGTGCACACGCGGGTGCTAACGGGGTTAGCGTGCGTCCTCGCGCTACCGGCCGAGTCGCACTGTTCAACCGAATGCACCTCCTGCCTTCACAGGCCGCGGCCTCGCTCGCACACCCCGCGTCTAAGACGACCCGGTCAACAAAATCCTATCACGGAGCAGCGGGGCGCGCCGCGACGACGCGGTGTTTTTCGGGATCGCGCGCTTGTTAGAGCGATCTATGATCGATCGAAGATACTTTGGATCGCGTGATCGCCAAATGGTGATCTCGAGTCCGATGAAGACGCTCCAAGTGCTCAAAGCGACGACGAATAAGTGATAGTGCGTGATTCGATCGATTGAAAGATTAAGACGCGAATATACAAATTGAAAATATTTAATACTTGCCGAGTAAGTGAAGGACTAGTGAAATACTGCGAACAGAGGACAATGCAGAATAAACGTAGAAGGATAATTTCGAAAAAAAAAGGCGACACTCTTTACTTAAGAATCTAAATCATTTTTTACGTTATTTTCAAAGTTATACCGCGCGATTATAGTTCAATTTGGAGTGCGAGGAGAGACTATAACACACAATAGTGGCTTGTAATAATTCGAAAACGAAATAAAATATGATCGTTATTGAAAGGACAGTTTGAAATTTCAAGTAGAATAATTTCCGAGTGAAGAGTGATAAATATAGAGTGTATCTGCTAAAGAAATACGAGTAATTGTTTCCGCGAGACATAAAAGAAAAACGGCAGAAATATGTTTCGGGAACAGTGAGAGAGGAGAAGAATCGTCCCTCCCCCGACTCCCTGGTCTCCACTTGGAAGCAAGTGTTCGGATCGTTGTACTCTGGAGAGCGGGTGCGCGAAGATGCACACGCTGTTCAGCGAGCAGAATGCGTATTATCGGCACGCGGCGACGGTGCCGATGGGCATGGGCGCGCCGTCGTACCCGGCGGTGGGCGCACCCGGGAGTTACTACGAGCAGTATCGATACGGCGGCTATGCGACGGCTACGGGATATCCAGTGTCGGGTATCGGACAGCAGCACATTCATCACGCCGGCAAGGATATGGTGAAGCCGCCTTACTCGTATATCGCGCTTATCGCGATGGCCATTCAGAACGCACCCGACAAGAAGATCACCCTCAACGGTATCTACCAATTCATTATGGACCGTTTCCCGTATTATCGTGAAAACAAGCAGGGCTGGCAAAATTCCATTCGGCACAACCTCAGCCTGAACGAATGTTTCGTGAAAGTGCCGCGAGACGATAAGAAACCCGGTAAAGGAAGTTACTGGTCCTTAGATCCGGATAGCTATAACATGTTTGATAATGGTTCTTATTTGAGACGTCGCAGGCGTTTCAAGAAGAAGGACGCGCTCAAGGAGAAGGAAGAGGCGCTGAAACGACAGGGCATCCTACCAGAGAAACGTCAGCAGGAGGACGTGAAATCCAGCGGCAGTAATCAGGTCGCGTTGCCGCCCCCGTCGGACACTTCGACGAAGAAGCTGGGCGGCGGCGGTGGTGGTGGCGCTCTCGAGGCCGCTACCGCCGCCGGTCTGTGCAAGCCGAAGCGGGAACCGGTGAACGATAATAACCATTGCATGGCGGCGGCGGCGGTGGCTGCGGCTGCGGCTGCGGCGGTTCAAGCTAGCAAATACGGCCTGCACAGCCCGATACAGCAGGAGGACAAGACGACGACGGCGGCGGCGGCGGCGGCGGCGGCGGCGGCGGTCGCGGTGCCTGGTCAAAGCGTTATCCAGACCGCTCTCAGTCATCAAGTGCAGCACCAGGCGCACCAGGCGCACCAAGTGCATCAGGAGTCGATCCAAGACGTATCGATGGCCGGATGTCTGGATCCAACCAGTTTCAGCGTCGATGCGCTCATGACGACACGAGAGAACAATCCCGGTCTGATGACGCGTGATAACCACCAGCACCACTCGCACCATCCGCACGGGCTTCAGCATCCGCACTCGATCATGAGTAGCAGGGAGTCGATGGGCAGCAGCGGCAGTAGGGACCACTTATCATCCACGGGCGGCACCACCACGACTACCACGACGGCCGCGGTGGCGGCGATGATGGCCACCAGCGGTTATGGCCACACCAGCACCGTTTCCAGGGGCAACGCCTCGCCACCTGGCACCATGTACACCCCGTATTGTGCACCGGCGGCCGCCGGATATGCCATTATGGACCACGAGTACAACACAGCGCGAAATCACGCGAGCAACGCCGTCGGTCATTCGCAGTGGTATCATCAGGACGCCAGTCCTGACACGGCGATCTATCAGGACACCCAGTCTCCGAGCTGCCAGCTTTACAGGTACGAGTCCCAGAAAACGAATACCTGAATTTCGCAGCGTCCGAGAAAACGTCACGTCCGGTCCATTCGATCGCCTCGAGATTCCAGTTCGATGATAGAAAGTCTTGCGCGTTTCTATACGCGATTGATACGTGCAAAATCTTCTTTTTTATTTCATACCGATATGATCGTAACAAAAGATCATTTTACCCGGTCCTTAAATTATTCTCATCATACCACAGTGTTGAGATTTCATTGCGATTGTATTCAATTTTTGTGTCAATAGCGCCGCGCGGTTACATTTAGACATTTTCTCATAGATATTATTTTGGTACATTATTTTGTTAAAGCAGTAAAGACTATATCTCACAATTAACCCGCTGGCTTGCTATTCGAACTCGAATAATAAGCACCATAAGTACAATTAATACAATTTAGAATAACTAACGTATAATGTGTAAATATATTATTGTTTTTCTCCATTATATTACATAGGATTTTTCATAGCTCTAGAAAAAATTCATAATTCCAAGAATTTCCATCTTATTATCTTCCTTGTCGGTTGGCGTTATCGAGAAATTTCTTGTAGATAATTAATGTCAATATAACATGACAAAATAGATAGCTAGATAACAATATAAAAGCAATCTATTACCGAGGGAAATACGCAGTTTATTATTATATTCACCTATGTATGAAAATTCTAATACACTGTCTGGATATGGAAAACAGTAGTTACAATATTTGTAAAAAAAATGACAAAAACGGTGGATCCATTTTTTGAAGACATAGATAAAATTACAGATAACTATACGATGTGTCTTAATTCAGAACATGGTCTGATTTATCATAGGTCCAGTCCGCCGACGCCACTTTCGACGGGCGCGGCGCCGTCTCCGCCGCTGTACCATAGATATTACCAAGACTGTAATGCCGTCAACACCAGCGGTAATCTGCCGATAACGTTGCAGAAGTACTGAGAATATCGGAATTCAAGGTCCCATCAGCGGAACCTTGAAGAACACCATAGCGATCATCACTACGATCCCGGTTTGATTTACGTGAAGCAAGAATGGATTCCTACGACGGACGAGCTCGCCAAGGAATGGAACTAGGAAGGTCGTACCGAGCTCTGGTAAAAATCGTCAATTTCTAGTTTCTCGTGTCGAATCGTATTCTCGTATCGTGTAGAAAGTACATAGGCGATATTAGCTAATATACGACAATTAGCGTAATAAATCGTCAACGTCTTTAAGGATGTCGTTAATGGACGAATAGTCCTCGGCTAGGGAACTTGTAATGGTTTCTATCGAATTTCTTCGTAGAAGTATACATTAAATACCGATTTTCTTCATTATTCAGTATCATTGTAATTTTAACAGTCTTCATTTAATTTCCATTCATAAAACACATTTACTAAGCGGTTTTTATAAGCGTTTCGAAAAACTGTGTGAGATGTCCAATTAAATTGAAGAAATTCGCGAAGAAGAATTTGGTTTAAAGATTCCGAAAATTGTAAAATCTGAATAATTGAGTAGTTTGTTTGAATTAAAAGTTGTAAAATATTATTGGACACCGAGACCCGCCTTGATCGCAATATGGCCTTTATTTGTGACGAATGATTAAAATCCCAGCATGATGCGTAACGTACATTAAAAGAAAAAAAAAAAACGTATGTACGAGAAAGAAAACAAATTATTAAAAAGAGTATTAGACTCCAAAGTACACAATCATCAGAGAAAAGTTGAAGAAGGGCAACAAAACGTAGAAATCCGCGGTGTGTGAAGAAGAAACTTGTGCCACGAAATTAATCGAATAACTATTATAATATAGTTTCATTATATTAAACGAAAACATTTTGATCTAAACTGGGACGTTCTTCAGCTAAGCAAAGTGTTAAAAACAGTTCTAATCGTATCGCAGTAAACGCTCAAGTACGTTACATTAATTAATGTAATTGAAACTTACTTATTGTTTTTATTGAATTGATTGATCTTTGTATTGTGTAAGAAATTACAATATCAAATCTGTAAATCTGACGTAACTCGAACAATAAATGCAAAGGAGGAATATTAAATTTGTATTAGCTAGCAGGATGACTTCAAAGTGAGTCGAAACGTATATTGTTATTTCAATGGAATAAAGTAGTAATTTGAAGAAATTCACCTCCTTTATTACTGTACGTACCGCAACAACGAAACTCTCATTCGCTTTTAATTACTGGAGTTTATGGTTTTTCTAATCGTATGTATTTTAATGAAATTAAAAAACTCCCAGTCCAATTTTTTAATCAGTAAATTTCTTCTTCTCGCACGTTGATTTGCCATCTTCTCAATTGCAGCATATCGTAAACTCGATAATCGTACGAGTTTTCTTATTTCGATCTAAAACCTCACTTTAATGAACGGAACGCGAATGTACGCGCCGCGCGTTTGGAAATCAATATGAATTTTAACATAATTGCTCTTATCTACGCAAATATCGAGACTGATTTATCTGATGAATTTTTGTTTCTTTGCTGCCGTTTTCGCACCTAATATATGCGCGCAAACCATCGCGCAAATCACACGAGAGCCTCAAAAATCCCGGGACGTCTGCTTCCGGTAGCGATAAGAACGAGTTAGAATTATCGGTCCGCATAGTCCGGCGGTAGTCAGGCAACTCGCGTCACGGTAAATGCGTTTCCGCTCCTTTCGCCAAGACACACCCTTGGAACGGATTGAAAAAGTCACATTGTTTGCTTTGCACGGCGTGTTTTGCATGGAATATTTCCCGATTCCGAAATGTCCGTTTTTATTGCACTGCGGCCGTGATTATTTCCGAACGAGCGATCTCTGCAGAATTTTTCGCATTTAATCTATATCGTCGAACACGTTGAACACGATTGTAACGAATAAACGAGTCACATAAACAGCTTTGGGGAAACAAACGGGTATACATATATCGGTAGATTGTTTTATCGTAAATAGAGACTAACATTTTAATATTTTAGAATAATGACGAGTCCGCGGAATTCTCTCTATTAACATTTAATAGGCTTATCACCCTACTTCTAGCAATCACTTTGGCAGTACCTATACAATAACTTCCTATATTTATTTATACTTCCTTTGACGGCAACACACTCGCGATTGATTCAGATATACCGGTAAATTTTAACGCGAACGTTTTAATCGACGGGAGTGCAAAAAAAGGTGATAATTGTCGCGATTTCAAGCGTCCCGATACAAGTGCGCAAGTAGCCTAATAATAATGTGTATAGTGTGTATAGGATGCCGAAAAAAGTTGATCATAGTCTCCTAAGTTTTCAATGTCGACGATGAAATTTATTGCGTTTTAATATTCATCTTGAGAGGAATGTTTGAAGCTATCACGACGATGAAAAGCGACAAGTATTGTAAAAAGAATAATAGCTTTAGTAATTAGTGAGATATTGTACTTTCTTCGCAAAATTACATCGCGTTCTTGTGCATTTAATCACGTGATAACTTTCCTCGATACCGAAGATTCGTGCGGTATTCGATGAAAGAGAAAATTGAGATACACACAACACACACACACACACACACATATAATACACACAGGAATGTTTATATATAATATGCATAGGTATATTTATTGATTATAAACACGGATCATGTGAATAATAATTAGCGTTAATAATGCTCGAATCTGCGTGTATATTATTACGAAGAATGAGAAGCAGCATAGATAGAATAAATAGAACAAATCTATATGTATACATATATATCTATATGTGTATATATGACGTATATATATAACAATATATATGCACGTATATACTTGTACGTGCGGAACATATTGATATTAATATTATTATTAGTACACTATTACGTATCAGTACGTAAGACACACCTACGAAATAAACGAAAAAAAATCTCGAATTATGTTTTGCCTCTTTCACATCCCGCCACGAAATCCATTTGCAACATCACCGTTTTGTTGGCATGTACCGCGCGAGCATGCACGGCCGTGCACTTACGAAAGTATTATTATCAGTGAAAACCCGTCGAATGTTTATTGCTTGCCGCGACGTAGTGCGACGTTTCATGTTTGGACGTGAAATATGTTTTTATATTTGTACTTATCAGCAGAACTACCGGTGGAAATATTGATGACCGCGCTGTGAAAATAAGCTAAGTAGACGTGAAAATAACTCGATGTTTAATTGTTGCATCCCGTCGGTCGACCATCCATCGTTGCAATTTTACTCAAGAGCATCATTCGCGCGCGTTTATCGTTTTACATTCATATTTATATTTATTATTTAATAATTCATCACGTACTTGCACAGAATATTTTCAAAAATGTAGGAAAACTTAATCGTGTATCGATGTGTGAAACATGGATCGTTGCCGACGTATTTAAGAATGTAGAATAAAATTGGAAGAAAAGTTCAAACGAGATTCATTCGTCGACAATTGTTTTTTATCGAATCCCCGCACGATATTCTTTTCTGTAAGACTTTTTTGTAATATCTTGTTAATTGAAAATAAAATACGTTACACTTGCATATCGCTATATATTTTCTAACATATAATTCAACATAGTTAATTTCTCACATTAATCCCCTGCGTTTACATTCTTCGTGATAAACGAGCCGCCCAGACATTTCCGCGTAAAATCCGAGAGCGAAATTGTTGACGATGAAAATGATAGAGGTGAGTTTCGCGGAATTCTCGATAGATTAATGTCGCGTCTCGTAAGTAACACGAGAGCGGAAACGTTTATGCTGCTTCAGCATCCAACCAAACCGAATCGACATTCTATCTTTTCCGCAGAATTTACGACGATCGCACGGATCTTCGCAACGCACATCCGCGCCCGTTCCCATTCTGTATTAGACTATTAATTTTAGTAACGATCCGAGAATCCGTTATCCCCGCGAGGGCGCATTGTAGCTGACTGAATTAGATCTACAAGAGTATAACTCGAATGATCGTCAAATTTGACCCGACAACCGTATCTAATTGCATTATATTAATAAAGAATTACTAAGCGCTTATTGGACGAATTAGATAAAAAATATGGAAGAAATCAGGGAAGCATAGCCACAATATAGGAAAACGTGGTTTCAAGCCAGGGTGTGGCAGGCGAATGAGATATTTGCCACAGGTAAAAAATTTGAAGGAACCCAAAAATGACAATGTAATTTTCTACATATTTTAATTCGTTATTAAATGATGATTTTGATTTACGAGCTACTGATGCTACATAGAGCACATCATTTTATATATTTTTAAGTAAAGTAACTTTATGTGAATAAAGTTCTAATAAGTTGAAGTTAATAAAAAATTGAGATCATTACTAAATTAAGGAAAATTATCAAAGAAATTCTTTCGATTAAATATCACATAATTGATATAATATAATAAATAATAATAGTCTCTGTAAGAATAAAAATAAATTGGAAAAATTGATGGGCTAAGAGCCAGTTATAAAATAAAGCACTTTGAAATTTAATAAAGATAATAATAACAACAAACGTTTCGATCGGGTAATTCTCAATATTATAGTAAATACATTATATAATTGTAAAACTATCTACAAAATATAAGGTTTTCAATATTCTTCATGTCCTGTATTATAACGTTGCGAGTCAATAAATTAAAATAGTCAGATTAGTCGTTGAAAATTTTCGGCAATAAAACAGTAATAAAAGTGGCCGTTAACAAAAGAAAATTAATGCTACCTTATTAAATAAAATGTTGAGAGTCAATGTGAATACGCACTCTATAATGTTAACATTTAATTTTCCAAGATAATAATATTCTTTTAAAAAATCACAAGTATCTGTACTAAATTGATTTCAAATATAAGAAAATCTAAAGTTAAAATTACAATTATAACTTCATTTTTTTTCGCCCGCGTATATAAAATAATAAATAATAATAGGTTCTGTAAGAATAAAAACAATATTATTGTAATTTTAGTAACTATATATTTCGTTTGTAACATA